TATTTATTAAATAATCATTCGATTTGTGAATTTTTGGAGTAAAAATACCAATTTAGTTTATAGCCGTATCATATGAGATACTAAAAGACAATACCTGTTCTCGTATGATTATCTAGTTATTAAACCGATTCTAAACTAGACCTAGTCCAGGCTCAGCCTGACTCTATTCACCGCAGCATTAGTATATATCCATTCGTAGTATCTTCTAAAAAAACATTCTGTAATTATAGTGCTTTGCAAAAAGATGTGACCCCATGATTTTTGTGATGATGAAAGAGTAAAATTTCCGAGATTCTAGATTGTCTATTAATTCATATTTTTTATCAGTTATATTTATATTTATTTGAAACCGATAAGATTCTTAAAATCAACAGAATCTCCGATTTTCACGCGACATTGTGATCTGCAGAGGTCACATCTTTTTGCAAAGCGCAATAATAGCGATGGTGGTAGAGGTAAATAAACAATCCCTATATAGTATAGAAGTTTAAATGCAATTACCATTAACTTTACGTGGTAAGAATATGTTTAGAAGTTAAATAAATTATGAATTTACAAATTTGGAATTGTTTTCAAATAGGCATAATGCACGTATTAAAATCGTATGATTTATCTTATAATTCGAATAATATATTTACTTTGTGCATGTATTAGGTAAATAGTTCTAAAATCAATTTCCTTTTTTCTACCATGTAATGATACAATCAATTATGGATATTCAAAATAATCTACTAAAATCATACAAATTATTTTACAATTCGAAGAATGTATTTACTTTGTGCTGAGATTTGTGGATATTAATAAAATATGTTCTTTGTACAATGTGTAATTGTTCGCATCCTAAAATCAATTCTATGATTATTTGTTAAAGCTTGCTATTACTTTACCTGTATAAAAATCAGAGCGAAGTTTATTGTATAAATATAAGGCGTTTGAGCATATATTTTTTTATCCTTTTGTGATTAAATCGTAATCATATCATACTCACAAATTCAAAAAATGGTCTCCCACCTTTCGCTTCTCGTTGTTATTATTACAGCAAAAAATAGTCCCACATACTCATCCGGTCTTGCGAAATATAAAATTTCTCAAGAATTATCTCAAACAATTAAATTCAAATATTTCTTCTCTACGAATCAATCACCTCAAATATTTACAAATGGTGATATTATATTTATTGCAGGTAAATACATTGTTGAAAACTCTGAACCATGCTTTACAATCGCATATTCAAGCATTGTTGATAGTAATAATCCAAACCGTGAGTTTGATGCAACTGCTCTTCCTGTATGTATACCTCATTGCATGTACTCAGTGGTAGTCAATCGAGAACCGAAAGAGGTTACAGACTTTATTCATTTTGGTGCCGAGACCATTGAATATAATTCTGTTACTAGTAAGCCTGATGT